TTGAACAGTTTTTATTTAACTTGACCTGCTACTAACTCCACAGCTCTTCTAATAAAAAGGGAGCTAACTAATTATTAAAAAGTGTTGGACTGCAAAAAAGCTTTAAAATAGATTATTGAGACACGAACAAATTGTGTCAATATAACAATATAAGTTACACTTTAATAATAACTATACATTATACATAATTAAATGTTTCGGCACATGCCTTCATCAGTACAAACAAACAAAACATATTTAAATAAGTATAAATTAAATTTACATAATATCAATATAATATCCTAACTAAAACAGAAAAAAATATAGGAGAGGGCGCTAAAACCAGACAAAAACAAAGTAAAGAGGAGTAGAAAGGAAGTGATTTAAACATAATTGTAAAAACCAAAATAAAAAGCGACGCAATTTCAGAGTTTGAAAACGCAAGCGCTTTTCTAAAGACGCACGACGTTTCCTTGTCTACCCAGATTTATTTTGTTGGTGAAAGAAATCTTGAGAACTCGGCCGTGGTCAAAATTTGATACATCATAATTTACTGCGAGACAAAGCTGTACTCGAAATCTGAGTTCTCCATGGTGCCTGAAACACAGACAGGCCCAATTATATATGGGCTAAAAGACGTCCACCTAGGACAAACAAAATCTTACTCAAGTGTTGCTAAATAAAGGTGGTGAAATAAAGTATAAGTATAGTCCCATCCAAACATAACCATTGAGGACCATAACCTGGCAGTAGTTGAGAACTCCACATACCTTGGAACTAACATTTCTAGATCACTCTCAGTTGATCAGGATGGCATAACCAGCGTCAAATTTGACCAAACTGAATCAAGGGGTGTGGAACAATTCTTAGTGGGTGTGGAACAATTCTTAGTGGGTGTGGAACAATTCTTAGTGGGTGTGGAACAATTCTTAGTGGGTGTAGAACAATTCTTAGTGGATGTGGAACAATTCTTAGTGGGTGTGGAACAATTCTTAGTGGGTGTGGAACAGCTCTTAGTGGGTGTGGAACAATTCTTAGTGGGTGTGGAACAATTCTTAGTGGGTGTGGAACAATTCTTAGTGGGTGTGGAACAGCTCTTAGTGGGTGTGGAACAATTCTTAGTGGGTGTGGAACAATTCTTAGTGGGTGTGGAACAATTCTTAGTGGGTGTGGGACAATTCTTAGTGGGTGTGGAACAGCTCTTGGTGGGTGTGGAACAATTCTTAGTGGGTGTGGAACAATTCTTAGTGGGTGTGGAACAATTCTTAGTGGGTGTGGAACAATTCTTAGTGGGTGTGGAACAATTCTTAGTGGGTGTGGAACAGCTCTTAGTGGGTGTGGAACAATTCTTAGTGGGTGTGGAACAGCTCTTAGTGGGTGTGGAACAATTCTTAGTGGGTGTGGAACAATTCTTAGTGGGTGTGGAACAATTCTTAGTGGGTGTGGAACAATTCTTAGTGGGTGTCGAACAGCTCTTAGTGGGTGTGGAACAATTCTTAGTGGGTGTGGAACAATTCTTAGTGGGTGTGGAACAATTCTTAGTGGGTGTGGAACAGCTCTTATTGGGTGTGGAACAATTCTTAGTGGGTGTGGAACAGCTCTTAGTGGGTGTGGAACAATTCTTAGTGGATGTGGAACAATTCTTAGTGGGTGTGGAACAGCTCTTAGTGGGTGTGGAACAATTCTTAGTGGATGTGGAACAATTCTTAGTGGGTTTGGAACAATTCTTAGTGAGTGTGGAACAATTCTTAGTGGGTCTGGAACAATTGAAAACTCGATTAAAGCATTAAATAAAGCGTCTTTCAGACATTGGGTCTCCAAAATCTGGCTCAGGGTCTCCAAAAATCACGCGTAAGCTTGTTCTCTTCTCTCGTGACAGGCACCTTCACTGGTTAGGTCATGTAAAGCATAAAGGTCGTACTCCGAAAGACCTGTTCTAATATTTTGGCAGAGGGGGCAAGACTTTTTGGACGGCCGCAGTTGCCAGGATTTATTGGACGGCCATGGCTGCCAAGACTTATTGGACGGCCGCGGCTGCCAGAACTTATTGGACGGCCGCGGCTGCCATGACTTATTGGATGGGCACGGCTGCCAGGATTATCGGACGGCTGCGGCTGCGCTATAAAGACTTATGCCATAGAAACATGAGAGTAGCTGGCATAGGGATTGGCAAATGTGAGATCATCGCTGACCACCGCTCCGGCTAGCGAACAGCCGTGTATGTGGGAATAAAACAAGCAGAGCAGAAGATGCTCGAAACAAAGCCCCTGTAACTACAAGAGTGTTACGGATGGCCAAAGTAAACTAGAAGGCAAGATTCAGACGAAAGTGCCACTCCAGGATCAGCCTCATGAGCCATTCGAAAATGTATAAAACATTCTACTCCATCGTCTCAAGAAGTCGGAAGGATGCCCTAGATATTGTCTGTACAATAGTTCACAGCTTTACGGCGCCATCGGTCCTTGTTACAAAATATTTAGGGACGCAAATATTTTTTGAAGCAAGAAAGTTAAGCTTACCTTAAAAAACAATTGTAATAAATGTTTATAATAAAGTGTTTACTCTTTTGTAACATATGCCTAGATGATGTAGTTTTTTTAATTGTTTTTAGGAGGGGTGGGGGTGAGGATTAAGAGGTTCCAAGGTGAGCGCATGTGGATGACATGTTAAGATTGAACTTTCAATGTATTGGAGGCAGAGGATACCAACATGTGGATGACATGTTAAGATTGAACTTTCAATGTTTTGAAGGCAGAGGATACCAACAATGTGGGCCAAGTGGCAAGACATGGCACATGCTGTGGGCGCCACTAAACTTGCTGGTGGGCGCAAAGTCGGCGTGATGTTCAAAGAAATGTTGCAAACATTTTTTTTTAGTTAGCCTATTTTTCCCCCTAAAGTTAATATACAATACGTAAAGTGAGTAAGCTAAAATGTTGACTATGTCTAACGAACAAGAAAAAAAACTGAAGATAGCCGAATTTGATATAATCATCGATAGTTCTAGTCAGCAATGAAAAGAAAGTTATAATTATGAATGCTTAATCGTACACTTTTCTTGTTGTTTATGTTTGAAGAAATGCTCGAATAAAAAATGCTGTATCTACTACTGCCTTTGTGTCCGTTGATTCAAGTAACTTAGTCATATGAAAATATGTTTCTCTAGCTTCCTCTGGGCGCAAATTTAGATCTATTCGTGTTGCTGCTATATGTCATCTGTATGTCTCTGATTGGAGAACACGAGAGTTTTAGATCTAGTCGTGTAGGCGTCATATGTCATCTTTTGCGTCATATGCCATCTGTTGGTCTTTCATTGGAAAACATTTCTTTTAAGACACTAAGATGTAGGCAATTCACCCTCATGCACAATACATAGAGCGTCACCATTGCTCCTGTACATACAAACAGACATCATTTCTCCTGTACAATACACAGAGTGCCACAATGCTTGGCCTCGTCAGCAATATGTGCAATGATTGCCTCATCAGCAATATGTGCAATGATTGGCCTCGTCAGCAATATGTGCAATGATTGGCGTCGTCAGCAATATGTGCAATGATTTGCCTCGTCAGCAATATGTGCAATGATTGGCCTTATCAGTAATATGTGCAATGATTGTACTCGTGAGCAATATGTGCAATGATTGCCTCATCAGCAATATGTGCAATGATTGTACTCGTGAGCGATTTGTGCAATGATTGTACTCGTGAGCAATAAGTGCAATGATTGTACTCGTGAGCAATATGTGCAATGCTTGTACTCGTGAGCAATATGTGCAATGATTGTACTCGTGAGCAATATGTGCGATGATTGTACTCGTGAGCAATATGTGCAATGATTGAAAGAACAATGAACCCTTCAATGACTAGAGGGACTTAGTCCACAGAACACGCAATGCTGCAGTGGTGGTCATTTTAATGGACAGTGTTTGATCAGACATTACTTTTGAAAGAGATTAAATTTCAACACAAGTAGGTCTGCTATTGGGTGATGTCACATTCATCTGGGACTACTTTTATGACATGTCACATTCCCCTGTTGCTTCTTTTGGCTGATGTCACATTCCTCATTAACTTTTTTGTGTGATATCACATTTCTCTAGTCATACTTTTTTTGATGTCACATTCCTCGGTAACTTCTTTTGGGTAATGTCATATTCCTCTAATCATTGTCTTCTTAATCCCTTTCACCCCATATCTGCCCAGAATAACAAAAGCGACAACAACAAAAACCTCATGATTCCAGGAGATTAATTCTGCTCTATTCTCTCATTTAAAAAAAAAAATTTAGTATTCCAACCCATCTTCCCCGATCAGTTTGATTCCAAATGAAATATTTTGCCTAGGTGTTTTAGCCAGGTGTTTTACCCAGGGCCCTACGCATTTTTAAGACAACCATGAGAACATCAAAGGTAAGAAAACTTAACTAATAATATCTCCACCCGAGACTACTGGGCTATATTCATTAACTGATGAAAATTATTAATCATTTAATAAATTTGATTTGATTTATTTTCCATTCGTTTTAATGAAAACTTCTTTTTCTATATGTATTAATCAAGTAAAAATTTTTTTTAAAAAAGGATATAACCTGCTTTTTATTTTATTAAAAGTTTAAAAGACTATGAAAAGCTCAAACACATAAAGTTAAACAACGAGATATGTAGCGAGGGGATATGCGACTAGATTGTGTGAGTTACATTCGCTTGTTCATTGGGATGAACGCCAAAAGATTACGCCAAAAGAAACGCAACTCGGCTAAATTATATTATAACAACTTTAATTTTGCATTACCCTTCCTGTAACTATGGAGTTTTGAATTAATGCGCGATATTTTTACTCCCGTGAGATTAACATAAAACAATTTACAATCTTCTTCAAAGGAATAAAAGAACTCAAAATTTTATTTTTACAATGTATAAATACAATATATCGTAATTTTCAATTGCATCTAAAAAAAAAATAAGTAATTTATGTTTGAAACTATTTATAAAAGTGTATGCATTTTTAAGTAGTGATCAGGCTAAGTGTAAACACCTACAATGGAGGAAGAAGTAGCTAGTGGGGGTGATAATATAGTCACCGAATTCTCTACGTACGAAGACTTTTTGGACTCACAGATTACAAAAGCTGATCTTTTCTTTTTAGAGGTGTAATATTTTTGTTAAGTGCCGGCATAGGCCTAACTTTTTTAAATATATTTCCCGATTATCCTGAACCTGTTTCTTTACCTACTCATAACATAAATACTAGATACTCGTTAGTCATTAGTTTTAATTTTTAAATTATTCAATTCTTATGGCTTAACATTAAAATAATCATTTACATTGTAACTGTGGATCTCTAACCGTAAGTCTGGTCGAACATATTATTGTTATGTCTATTTTCTTAAAGGATATTATCCAAAGAAATTATAAAACGTGTTAAGTGTGTATAACACTCAATTTTTATTCAAAGGACTTGGAGTTGGCCAGACAACTTGTTGAGCTTGGCTATCGTGGAAGTGGAGAGGTGCTAAAGAGAGAGGAGTTTGAAGCAAGAAAACTTGCTGCAGAAGCCAGCAGACTTTCTAAAAGGAGTCAACAGAAGTAAGTACCAGCACTGGTGCGACTACAGCTGATTTGTGGCTGCTGTCTTCCAGCTTAGGTGGCTGGGTTTTTTTAACTCAAACTCAGGGTTTTTTTTATGGCAGAGAATATCTAATTTACTTACACTACAACTAGCTATTCCCCCAAAGATGGAGACTACCCCAGATGAACAGAACCTGCTACCGCTTGGTAAGGAAGCAGAGCAGCACTACTGGGAAGACAGAACTGTGAATGATTTAATTACAGCTTACATTAGGCCTACATGTTTTTTCAAATTAATTTACCTGTAACACTATTAGCAAATGTGAGGTAACAAAATTAAAGAAAATAAACAGTTCAGTCACTGTTTATAACAGTATTTTACTCAATGATATCTTCAACCAGTGGGCATTAGGTGGTTGTAATGATATCTTCAACCAGTGGGCATTAGGTGGTTGTCATGATATCTTCAACCAGTGGGCATTAGGTGGTTGTAATGATATCTTCAACCAGTGGGCATTAGGTGGTTGTAATGATATCTTCAACCAGTGGGCATAAGGTGGTTGTAATGATATGCTCTGATTTGGTGCAGTTTCATCAGCTTAAAATTATTTTTTACAATTAATAAAAAAGTTAGTATTTGTTTTTTTATTCATTTCTTTTTACTTTGTAAAAGTATTTCCGTTTCAGTATGTGGCAATGTGCCACTATTTTAACTCCATTTATAAAACATTTTATATGCGGTAGTATGCCACAGATAGAAATAAGAGAATCCCCTCTCATGGTGCGACTGCTGTGGGTAACCCCAAACACGTACAAATCCATGGTCATTTAAAGTAACACACAGCTGTGTACTGGGCCTTAAATTTTATGTTTGGCTATTTACATGGGGGAATAACCATCCCTGCCCCGGGGTTGACCCATGATCAGCTTGTGACACGGGTTCCCTGTGACTGTGTGCGATAGAAGGGGGCGAATTGGGACTTGGAGTGTGTACATTTTTAGATTGTGGTATGGAATAGATACGTCGGGTCGGCAACAGGTGTGAGAGATTTTACTGTCAGCTCTGTCAACAGATTGTACCTAAGATTAATTAAAAAGCTATAGTTCTCAGACCTGATTGTTTTATTGTGATTTTTTTAAAACTGTAAGTCAGGTCACCACTCGGCTACAAGTATTTGTAATAAAATTTACCTTACATTGCATATCTGACAGACAGTATATAGCACTTAAATATGAATTTTATTTCTGTTAGCTATGAAGGGAGAGAACTGTTAGTGTGGGTCTAAGTCTTAAATTCCCATTGTTTTTAAACAAAAATACAATAGCATATATCCCTCCAGTTTGGAGTAATAAAATTTAATTAACTTAAATTTAAAAAGTACAAATACAGAAGAAATGCTATGCATTCTTAACATAAATAACAATATATTTTATGTGACCATCAGGACACTTGCAAGTGATGACAAAATAATCAAAGAACCACTTCTTCAAGCCCTCGCTGCCAGGGAAGCCGGAAATAGAAATGGGAAAATGACTGTAAGACCCTTGACATCTGTAGCGGTTCACTGTTTACTTGAGAATTTTCATTGATACTTATTACAATGAGACCTCATCCGTGAATTGTGATTAAATACATATTATTCCCCTCTATCATCAAGCATTTAATCCTAGTTAATTATTTCAGACTCATTGGATAAAAGTAGTACCATATTTTAACTACGGTAACCAAAAAAAAAAAGTTAATATCAAAAAAATTAATATGGTAACTTTAATAAAAGATATTTTAAGTATTTTTTATTTTTTAACACCCCGCTCCAACTGATCCCCCTCCCCATTGCTGTGCCATGACTGTTAGTTTTATCTAAAACATAACTTTTGGACTAGAGCTCTGCAATTTTCAACATGCAAACATATGATTTTAAACATAAGGTCCTGAATTTCGGAAGACTTAAAATTAAAAGAGCACCTTCTGTGTATATATGCCTGAGCAGTCATTGATTCTAAAAATTTTGGTTAGCATGGCATAATTAGAAACTAAACAGAAACAGTGCATGATTCCCTCACAAAGTGGCACTTGCAATCAGTGAAATATCCTCATCAACACCAGGCACAGAAGCATAGCAAAGCACCTCTACGTACATAGGAGCCAAAATGATCAATAAATTGATCTTGGCCCCTTAATATATAGAAGAAGAAGAAACAAATTTCCATGTAACTTAACATATTTATTTCTTCCTCAATATTCTTAGAGTTTAAAAAACAGGTCTGTGGGTGTAGGTAAGGGTTGGGATTCATAAATAGATACACATGCAGTGGTCCCAATTTAATATGTGCCTTAAGATATATCAAAGATTAAAATTCAACTCTAGACCTTTCTGAAATTCTTTGCAGCACTATGTTTTAGCTGCACTGGGAAGATCTGGCAACGACCCTTAATATACACATAATTATGTGAAAATACATATTTTTTAACCTAATGAAATGTCCATGAAAATTAACTTTAAAATTATTTACACACACTCATCAGATATTTATACCTTATTTCAGTCCATCATTTTTATAAGAGATCAGAATGCTAGAGGCCAGGAGATCTCAGGATACATAGACTATGCCTACAGACTCAAGACAGAGGATTTTGAGCCATATTTCAGTGGCAAAAAACGGCTCCTACCACGTCCTTCTGACCTAAGGTCAGCCATTGTAACAAAAAGCAAAATTTTTAAAAATTAACTAATGCATTGTCACTAAGCAAGAATCTATCCTACATGGGTCCAAAACAGGAATATTTAAAAAATGATTGTATTTTCCCTACTGGTGTGTATTACCTGCTGGTGTGGAAATTCAATGTCTGATATTAAACACCGCATAAACAGACTTATCAAGAAGCTAGGAACATAACACAAACTAAACATCCTTCACTTGAAGAACTGTTTGAAGAAAGATGTTATTGTAAACTTAACACATTTTGGATGATACATCCCACCCTCTTCATCACAGATACTTAGGATCGGCCCATTCAGGATGAATTCTTACGGTATGAATTCCGTCAGGGCGAGGACTGAAAGATATAAAAATTCTTTTGTTCCCCAATCTGAATGAATTTACCAGCTTGCTCCCCCTGAAGTCAAAAATCTTAATGAGAACTAATTTGGTTCTTTATTTTTTATCAGTAGTAAAATTAAGTTAGCATGTCCTAGTGTTTTAGCTGCCATAATAAATTGCCTTATACGAAAGTACCTTATTCATGAGTATCTCTTAATTTTTAAAAACAAAAATTTCCAAGAAAAATCAAGTAAATTTTATAAAATTCACTTTTCCTAGAAATTTCAAAATAACATATATTTTCTAGAATTGACAAAATTTCCCCAAAATCTCAATGCGCTTTCAGCTTCTACAACTGGGAAACAGCCACATCTACCTCCAACCCTACTCCCAACTACCAAGTGATTGCTGAGAATGCTTCAGGTCTGCTCTTCAAAAACAAGAGGGACAGAAAAATAATCAATGTTGATCCAAAGGTGAGACCCTGAACATCATGTCATATGTGGTGTTTACATGGCACATCATCATGTTATCTGTGGTGTTTATATTGTCACATCATCATAATCATCTGTGGTGTTTACATGGCACATCATCATGTCATCTGTGGTGTTTATATGGCACATCATCATGTCATCTGTGGTGTTTATATTGTCACATCATCATGTCATCTGTGGTGTTTATATTGTCACATTATCATATCATCTGTGGTGTTTACATGGCACATCATATCATATGTGGTGTTTTCATGCCACATCATCATATCATGTGTGGTGTTTACATGGCCCATTGTCATATCACATGTGGTGTTTACATGACACATCATATCATATGTGGTGTTTACAGACACATCATCATGTAATTTTGTAATCATTTGTTTAACAAATGACATGAGATTTGTGGGACGTTGTTAATGTATCTAAACTCTTTACGTGTTTGTTGTGTCCATCCAGGCCCCTAATCCAGGGGATAACTCTGAGCGTCATGTGATCAACACCAACAAGTACATCCAAGTGGTCATCTACGATCACATCAACCGGAGGAAGACATGATGAATAATTTAAAATTGTATGTGATTTTTATAAATGTTATTGTGATAGGAGTCTTACTGTTAAAATAACTTATATGATGTTAGTCAAATATAACATTTCTGAAATCAGTAACAAGCAATGAATTTTTTAATATTAAAATGATTTTTTCCACTTAAAACAACTTGTTACCTTTTAAAGATTAAATGTAAATATTGTAACACTACAAAAAGGTTGTTTGTTCAACATTGTAAATCTATTATCAAGACCTTTAAAGCAGGGGAGAGAAACCTGTGGCTGCTGAAACATTTAATGCAGTTTGCAAGACCTTCAAGGAACATGATTGTTTTTGTAAAATACACAAATTGTGAATTTTTATCTGCTTTGAAACGTTAATTACCGGGTACCTGAGTTGTCCCATTGTCAAACTGTTTTAACAATAATAACAACAAACTTTTAAGTTACTCCACTGCTGATATTCAAACTCATTTTAATATTTTGGCTAGATATGACTAGACCTTACTAAGATTCCTAGAAAATTACCATGCAGTCCACCAAAAAGAAAGAGAGAAAGTCCATGAGGCCCTTGCACAAAAAGGTGGCTTTGTGCAAATGGTAGTATTCACAAGATTGGGCAGATGTCATTAAAATTGAAAGTCTATGGGTGCTTTTGAAAATTTAATCATTTTAAACATTGAGGTTTTCAAACTAAATTATACATTTTAAGGCCCACTTCACTGGGACTATGTAGAGTCGAGGTATCAAAGTAGAAAAGACGATGGTCGTGATCAGTTTCTTTTAAGTTTTCATTGATGAAGGAAAGGAAGTTGTTGATTTAATTTCCAATTAGTGTGTTCTTTTCAGTATCATATATAAACTTGAATAGTGTTTTTAATTTAATCCAACTTTTTCCCCATAAAAATAACCCATGTCATAAATGATAAATTAAATACTAAATATCTCTCACAGTTAATGATTACAAATTAGGAAACATTTTCTTTTTCAGAATTCATATCAAAATTTCAGTTTAATTTCTCAATGAACTCTGAGCAAACAACAGACATGTTTGCCCTTACGCTTTCACCATAGTAACTACGTTTTTAAGCCTAAGAAGATGGCACTACAACAAACCTATTTCAGCAGTTTTTTTCGGTTGTTTGGTTTATTTTTTATTTAAAAAACTTTAATTGGGGTGTTTTCAGTAAAAGATTGTTTAATAAATTTTTTTTGTGTTAACACCGTAAGCAATCGGTAAGCAATCGCATAAAAACAACAGTGATTGGCTTTTGCGGTCTTGATCTTAATGAGCCAACCAGAGTATTTTTCTTTTACATGGTGGGTTAAAGTTGTCTGCTCAATTCTCCTATCAACATATTCAGTGGTAAGTTAAGGATACAATTAAGTAATTAAAATTAATTATTTTCATGTAATTGTTCCAGCTTTTAATTGTTAGGTAGCAATTTTAAATAGAATAAAACTATGTCTATGTCAATTATGAGTCCCTGTTTAAAAAAAAATGGCTGGTCTATTGTCTACCAAGTACCAAGTCTTAGACTAACTTCCCACTAAGCCAAGCCTACTTTTTTCAGCTTTCTCGTAAGCCTAATGATGATAAGACAAATTCAAATAACAGTAATAATAGAAATAGAAGCTTACGGTATGAGTCGTAGTTTTATCCTATGCTATGATTTTGATAGAAGTAGAGGAATTTGAATTTTAAATTTAACATACTATATGCGATCACAATACGTTGTTAACTTAGCAAAAGACTTTTTTAAACTTTTTTATCTAGCCTTAAAAATTAAAGGCTTACGTTATTTTATTACATTATTATTTTCGTAGTTCACTAAGAATAAAGCAAAATTAACACTGAATGCCACCTTTTCAATTTTCATTGTTCAAATTGTTCTTGATACCTCTTCTTCCACACTTTGCTGGTTCAGTGCTACATCATAGGCCTGTTTTATTGCCTCTACCATATAAATACTGGTATAATTAGTATAATAGTCTATACGATGTATGACCCTCTTATGATAATATATTAATTCTTTTTTGTTTCTATATTCAGGATCTAGGGTTAATAAAATAATGCCCAACAGAACAGCAACTAACCTTTAAATTAATTAAATACTGTTGATGCTTAGTAGAGCAACCAACTGTTAAAGACTGATGTTGGTTAGGAGAGCAACCACGTTTGAACAAGTCATCACCGCTAACTCTATTAGATTTATTGATATTAAGCATATTTGCAGGAGAGTCCTCATGAGCCATCTGGTGACCAAAATGTTTTTAAAAAGTCAATCATCTGTATCACCCACCTCAGATGTCTACTTATGGATCTTCTCAGTCAAGCTCTTAATTTATGTGTTCAAACATTAAATTCTGCTTACAGAGATTTCATAGACACTAAATTGTGTTTAAACTATCTGTTAATTTTCCTCACACGAAAAACATATGGACTCTATGTATGAAAAGATGTTTTCTATTTGTGGTAGCTAAATCCTTGTTATGGAATCCCACAGAAACTAGAAACGTTGCTAAAAAAAATCTTCATAAAAAAACTGATGAAAATTTGCAATTGTGCTAGGAAAATTAAATAAATATATAAGTATATATTTTTTTTATTGTGTTTCAATATTTGTTATTTGTTTAACTATACAAATTCATACTTGTGTTCATATTACCTCCCATAAAAAAAATGTGTGCACTAGACATGGATTTTAGATCAGATATCAGTCAAGCAAGTCTGTGCAGTCAGTGCCTATCAGTCAAGCAAATATGTGCAGTCAGGACCTTTTGTACTTGCCTCAGACCTTTTCTTATCCTTAAGATATAAATCAGAGGACTATATCCTTTATATTTATTTGTTAACTTTATATAAGAAGCTGATTGGATTTCCTGATACAACTTGTCTTTTGATTGCAATCACCCCCCTCCCCCCAAAACCACAGCTAAAAGACCATACTAATCTTTGGAGATGGAAAGAACATTTTTGAGAACTGAATAATACTCTTCCACTAACCCAGGGGTAAACAGGTCTGAAACAACTCTTCCACTAACCCAGGGGTAAACAGGTCTGAAACAACTCTTCCACTAACCCAGGGGTAAACAGGTCTGAAACAACTCTTCCACTAACCCAGGGGTAAACAGGTCTGAAACAACTATTCCACTAACCCAGGGGTAAACAGGTCTGAACCAACTCTTCCACTAACCCAGGGGTAAACAGGTCTGAAACAACTATTCCACTAACCCAGGGGTAAACAGGTCTGAACCAACTCTTCCACTAACCCATGGGGTAAACAGGTCTGAACCAACTCTTCCACTAACCCAGGGGTAAATTTTCTGAACCAACTCTTCCACTAACCCAGGGGTAAACAGGTCTAAAACAACTCCTCTTCCACTAACCCAGTGGTTAACAGGTCTAAAACAACTCTTCCACTTACCCAGGGGTAAACAGGTCTGAAACAAGAAAACAAACATGATTAAATAAACCATAAAGACATCATTACAAAATGAAAAAACCCTTTAATATTTTACACACCTTTGATGTACACTAAAATATACTTGAAAAGTTCACAAAGCCATAACAAAAGTATATATACATGGATTGTAGTATATCACTTCATAAAATTATATCAGAAGAAATTTTCTAATCACCCTATATGAAATTACCCTCTGAAGATTGCTGCAGGAAAAAAAATATTTAAACGGTTGCAACTCTCTTTTCTCTGTGAATTGCATTATGTTATCGGTACTACTTACAAATATTAGAGATAGCTCAGTCGAGCTCAACAAGTAATGTATGTGTTATTTAAAGATTGTTTCTTGGCTCTGTTCCTCCACACAAAAAATGGATATTATGCAGTGGTAATCAATACAATATTCAGGAAACAATAGTGTCAACAGGCCATCAATAAATACAGAATAAGTGAAAAGATTAGAGATGGCTTTTCTGGAATACTGTGCATTAATATATATAAAACTTAAATTGTCTCATACAAAGGAGATTCAGTCTTAACAAAGAATACTGCTATCAGCCATACAATGCATTAACATAAAATATGACACTTATTTATTATTATTCTGATTATTTTTTAACAAAGATGAGTTCAACATTTTAAAAAAAATGATTTTCAACTAATTAATAAAATTATAACCACCTTAAAATAAGGCTAATTACCTTGTCTCTCTTTTTACTTATTTTTAAAGTTTGTTCCTGGGTGAATAATAGAAAGTACATCAAATATAAAATAGAAATGAGATAAGAAATACAGCTTCTAAGAATAGATGTTTATTAAATCCATAACTTAATTAAATAAAAAAAATTGATTTATTGATAAATGAAGCCCATCGTCCATCACCTCGCTATCAAGCGCAAGAGCCCCCACTCCCCAATATCTCCGTCTACTTTTTATGATGTCAGAAAATTTGATGAAATGACAAGGCTACAAAAAATGTCACAACCTTCATGTGATGTCATATAGATGCCAAACAATTAACAAATTCATCATAATAAAAGAAACAAAATCATCAAATGACTTTACATTGTCTCGTACTGTGATGATTGCCTTCTTATCAAAATTCACATCTGATGATAGGTTTCATTTCCTAATAAAGAGTTTTTGATGCCTCCTTACTCTTTCCATCACCCCAAGTGTTTCATTGTAATAGCAAAAATACAAGTACGGAGTGGGGTATAATTTTATTTAAAATTATGTATTTAGCAGTTATGAGGATTTCCATAATGTTAGATGTAATATATGACAATGTGAAACTAAGATTATATACACACGAACTTTTGAATACACACTAGAGATTGTTTCAAAATGACCCACACGTTTATTTCTCTACATCACTTCCCTAAACAGGTTGTAGTCCGCTGGTCAATTTTAAATGTTGGTGCTTCACAAAACATACAAACAATGGGGTGCCTCTAAACTGACATCAATATTAAAGTCAAATTTTGTGAAGGTATTGACAAGATGCCTTCGTTTAAACAACGGGTTATAAAATCATTCAATATTAAATTAAAGGGTTTTCAATTTCCTGGCAACCGTTGTATGCTTTCATTACAATCTTCAAATTGGGTTGCTTCTTTGGTCCATGTTTACAATGACATGAGAAAAGCTGAGTTCAACACTAAAACATCAATGTTAGGAAACTGCATACAATTTAAAACAATTAGCAATGAGTGGTCAATGTTTCAATTTTGTTTTCAGTACAGCAAACAATCAAAATGGATGTTTATATTTACTTGTAATAAAACATATTCATGACTCAGGACATCTGGTGTTAATTTCCTCTGAGGTTTCATAAATAGTTCCATTTTAATATCAAAGGAGATTCTTAACACTTTACATAAAATGCTCTACACACTTTATAGAGCTGCCCTTTCTGATTTGTAGAGGTTTCATCTAATACGGAAATGGAATAAATCGTTGAAACACAAGCTGAAGATTTAATCAAGAGCATTTTGAGAATTAGGAAAGAAATAGTTAATGGCCTAGGCTCTACTGGGAGTTGAAAGAAAAAAGTTAATGGCCTAGGCTCCAGTTGAAAGACAAAGAAGAAGACGTTAAATACTTAACTGTTCTGTATCAAATTGAGAGAGGTCTGAACGACTTTACTAACAATTAAGTTGTGTATCAAATTATGAGATGTTTAAACCACTTCTATAGTTATAGCATAGCTGTCTTCAGTAGCAAAGGCTCTATAAGTAGTGTAGACTTGAAATTGAATCAATTTGATTAATTATCACTGGATCTGTGATAATACAAATAAAATGGTGCAGTTAAACTACAGTTGATCAAAGCTCAAGGAGATTATTTTCTCTACTTGAGCTTTTCCTTCATTTCAACAAATAGAAAATTTTTAAAGAAATCTTGTAATGTTTTTCCATGTTTACATTATTGCCATAAATAAACGTCTTTACATTTTAGAATAGTTTAACAATTGAAACTCATTAATTTATAAAATAAAGCACCATTTTCTTGCATGTTTCAAGTCATGTTGTTTACACAAACTCATGATCCAAAAGGCGCTTTTTGTCCTCTCCATTACAGGGGCCAGATTTTTTCCAAAATGGCAGCTGAAAAAAAAAAAGTTTTAAAATTAGACCCAAAAAAAGTGTCTTTTGTGAAAACCATTACATTAACTAAACTTTTTTTAAAAAAAGAAAAGGATTTTTTTTTTTTTTAAAGCAATAATATGCTTATAGTAATAGTGAGGAAAAAAAAAGATAAGAGAGTCTTGCCATAAGCAATGACAGCTTTGGTGTTGAGCAATCAGTAAGTTCTTTTTAAGAGTAGAAGATTGACATTTTCACATTTTCACAGTTGGGATGAACTGGGTTGAAATATTCAGGATTGAAATGAACAATTTTAAACAAAAGCTAATTTTAACTAAGAAGGGGTGTTAACTCACTTTGAATCCTTTACAGCGTGCCTGATATGTGGAGATGCCGACCACAATAATGAGAATGGCCACAATGAGCCAGGTGTAGAGAAGAATCATGCCAGAGGGCGCTGTGGGTTGTTTGCTTTTCTTTAACATCTCTTCATCCACCACGTCCTCCATCATGTGACCATGTATCTCACTGGCATCTTCATCCTGCTTGCTCTCCTCATCCTGCTTGCTCTCCTCTATTTAATTTCATATTTTAAAATAGTTTCAATCTCATTACAACAGCCATTTAATTCAATCATTAAAATCTCATTACAAGAGCCAATTAATTAAATCACCACAATCTCACTTGAACAGCCAATTAATGTTGAGGACCAGACTCAATAATAACCTCCTAAACTTTAGAATAATCAATTACACAAGTAATCAATTCTATGAAAAACCACAAAGCCCCTGGAGAAGACCTCATCACAGCAGAAATTATTAAATATGGAGGAAGATAACCAGACACAGAGACATAAACTTATGATGAAGATTTGGCAAAAAAATAAAATTCCAACAGAATGGGAAACAGCACTAATCACCCCATTACACAAGAAAGGTTCCAAACTTCGATGCATAAACTACAGAGGAATTTCCTTTTTAAATGTTTCATACAGAATACTGAAGAAGAAAAATTGTCGAAAGACTACAACCTTACACTGAAGAAATCATAGGTGACTACCAATGTGGATTTAGACAAAACCAATCAATGACTGATCAGATTTTCAACATCAGATACTGATTAGAGAAATGTTCCAAAAATAATATCACTGTACATCAACTCTAAGGGACTATAAAATGGCCTATGACAGCATCAAAAGGAAATATCTATACGAGACTGCAGCAGTTTGGCATACCCAACAAACTGACAACAATAAGGCACATAACATTAACCCATTGGATACGTTTTGCCGCAGAGTGTGTCATCATTGGTTTGTTTCATTCCTTTAGTGTTTTAACTTTTACAGTCAAATATTTTATTATAGCTTTACAAACTTTTATTCTGAAGAGTTTCAACTTCCGCTGTGAATTTTCCATTGGATCTTTTTATTTGCTAGTTTTTTCAAGTTCCAAAAATGTAAACTAACAGCTGATTGAAATGGCTTGGACAAGTGGTACTAATACTAATATTAGGTCTGCTCACTGGAGATTTAGATGTATGACTGCCGAAGAAGCAAGACAATTAATTAGCTTGGATGAGTGATGGGACTTGAATGAAAACAAATATGACGATGCGGATCTGGATGAGAGATTGGTTTTTGATAGTAGTGATGAGGAATATATTCTTCCAGCCACATGGAGACCAAAATTGGGCATGGGGAAAGGAAAAGTGAAAGGAAAATATCACATCTAGTTCATCAACTGGACCTAGTTCTACAGTTACAGCAGGCTTAGGCTTAGCTCATAATGCATTGCACAGGTCTAACTCTAATCCGACTACAGAGTCTGGGTGGTCAGAAGTTATAACTAGACAAAACTGAAAACTATTTTCGACTTCACCCACTTTAACTTCTGGAGTTATTCCAACGTTACAAAATATTGAAAACCCTACTCCTATTGAATTCTTCAATGCATTATTTGATAACGTAAAGGATTACATTGTTGAATCAGTAAATGTTTATGCCAAAAGAAAAGTACAAGTTAACACACCTGCACTTAGATACTCTGTATTTAGCCGATGGAAGGACATTTCTAGACATGAACTGGATAAGTTCATAGCCGTTTTGATTGAAATGGGCATGTATAAAAGGCCAGCTCTTGTGGATTACTGGACTATGTCGGCTGAATCCTACATCCCTTGGATACACCATGTATTTAAGAGACAGAGGTTTCAGGACATTTATCACTCCATGCGACACAGTGGCCATGAAACATCCGAAGGCAAAGATAAAATTGAACCTTTTATTAACCTACTCCTGAATAAGTTCAGAAATGCATTTTACCCCTTTCAGGAACTCAGTGTAGATGAAATGGTGATAGTCTATAAGGGTAGGTGGCAGTTTAAACAATAAAAAGCCAGTAAGCAAGTACAACATAAGAAAACATTTGGTCTGTGCGATTCCTCCACTGATTATGTTGTAGACATTTTGACTTTTTCTGGTGCAAATACTTCACACAACCCAGAAGTGGATAAAGATGGAGGACAAGCTGTCCAGGTTTTTCATACTTTGCTTCAACATGTGGGAACTGGTCACAAAATTTTTGCTGACAGACACTACACCTCCAGAAAACTCATTGACTATCTCCTTGCTAAAAATCAATATTATCCAGGAACTCTAAACATTAACCTTGTTGGCTTTCCACTGGAGGTAAAGTCGTTATCTTTACAACACATTTGTGTTACATTCAGAGATAAAAAGGCCAAAAAGAAAGTAATACTAGTGTCAACTGATGCAAGAGTACATACTACCTAGTGTCAACTGAAGCAAGAGTACATACTACCTAGTGTCGACTGATGCAAGAGTATATACTACCTAGTGTCAACTGAAGCAAGAGTACATACTACCTAGTGTCGACTGATGCAAGAGTACATACTACCTAGTGTCAACTGAAGCAAGAGTGCATACTACCTAGTGTCAACTGATGCAAGAGTACATACTACCTAGTGTCAACTGAAGCAAGAGTACATACTACCTAGTGTCGACTGATGCAAGAGTACATACTACCTAGTGTCAACTGAAGCAAGAGTACATACTACCTAGTGTCAACTGATGCAAGGGAACATATAGCCTAGTATCAACTGATGCAAGGGAGCATACAACCTAGTGTCAACTGATGCAAGGGAACATACTACCTAGTGTCAACTGATGCAAGTGTACATACTACCTAGTGTCAACTGAAGCAAGACTACATACTACCGAAACCAAGACATATGACAAACCTGAAATGATTCACATTTACAATAACAAAAAGGGCTGTGATAAGCTAGGTCAGAAAGTAACCTGTTGCCTTGAAAAGACAAATGAATCGCAACACATCATCAATTACAAAGAACATGACCGATCTTGTGCCTATTGCTCTACTGCGACTAAACGGATACGCACACACTTTTATTGCACTGGTTGTGAGGCCAAAGCTCACCTTCATCCTAAAGGATGCTTCAAGGCCTTTCATTCATAATGACGGCCTGATTAGTTTACAAACCATATAAATATGTGTAAATATGTGTGTAACAGACCCGAATAGTTATTTTTATTATTAACTCTTGGAACATTTATTCAAGACTATTGTGTTGAGAAAAAATTCATAATTTGGCAATTTCTTGAGCTATTACAACAAAACTTTCCCGATACTTAACAAGGATATATAACAAGGCTCATTTGTTGAAAAAATTGTCTTGATTGGATTATTCTTACCTGATTTATGGGTTGGCGAGTAGAATTATTTATTTTTTTTTTCATTGTTACTTTTACATATTACCCCTAAAGTTTTTCTCTATATAATTTTTTATCGCTCTTTTATAATAAAAACATTTTCCTTGCTCAATTAGTTAAATTTTGATATGCTACATGACAAAGGTTTGATAAACAGAAAGCGGGGATTTTAAGTTAAAAATAATCAGGTCGAATGGAATTTTAGTCCCTTAATTTTACTACATTCCATTGAATAATAATTGTAACGTATTGAATGGGTTAAACAACAGAGAAGAACAGATGCTTAAAACCATTAAAATTAGAAACCAAAGTTTGAAAAAGTGAATCAATTCAAACATCTAGGATCCTTAATAAATAAATTGAGTATTTTCTGACTACTGAAGTATTAAAGTAAAAGGTCAAAACATTACAAGAAAAGCAATTATATTAGCTAATTATAAACCAAATCCACAATTTTACGTAGCTTCCATGTCTTTTTCCTGTTTGGTTTTTTACATTTTGTTTCAAATCACTTCGTTTCCATTCTTCTTGACTTTGTCTCTGTCTGGTTTGTGCGCCCACTCCCTTTTTTCTCTTTTTTTAGGTAGGATATATGTATATATATATATATATATTATATATTATGTAAATTTTATTTATGCTTATTTAAATGTTTTGTTGTTATACTGATAAAGGCATGTGCCGAAATGTTTACTTGTGTATTATTAAAGCTTAACATATATTGTTAGGTTGACACAAATTGTTAGTGTCTAAGTAATCTAAGGAAAACTATACATAAACTATAACCAGACCAGTAGTAAAATATGCAAGTGAAACTTGGACCATTAAATGACGGTAGAAATACATATTTAACATATGGGAGAGAAAAGTTCTCCAGAAAATATATGGACTAACAATATATCAATATGGTCGGAGAGTACAAAACAACAAGGAACTGTATGGACTATATCAGGATCCCACGCTAATAGCAGAAATAAAAAAAGGACAGGCTGCACTGAGCGGCACACTTTGAAAAAATGCCTAATGACAGAAGAATGAAAAGAGTGTGAACCACCGAACCCCCAGAGGAAAACGGCATGGAAAAGAAAATGATCAGTTAGGTCTTTGTGGAAGTAAGTGTTGAGGCAAGTCAAAGCCCTATATGGACTTTAGCGCCACAGGGATGGATGGATGGATGGATCCAATCCAAAGACCTGGGTTAGAACTTGTTTATCATTGGTATTACGATTTACTAAATTTAAAAGCTTTCCTCGTGATATAGTGGGCAAACATTTCAACATGATTTAACGGAGAACATCTTATGTAATAAAACAAATCTGGTTTTAACTTACCATTTCCCTCTTGTTTTTGTTTAGACCACTTAGACAATTCATAATCTTCATCCTCATCACTATCAGCTTCGGGGGTAACTTCTTTTTCTTGATTATTTTCATCATCATTGTCATCACCATCAGGCTCATCTATTCTTGTGGGGATGAAAGTCTTGGTATCATCAATATCTTCGTTGAGATGTTCATGTTCGTTCTTAGCAACAACTAATGAAATGGAAGATCATGAACAGTAATAAGTGTAAGATCATGTTCATTAATAAATGGATATTCATACATATATATACACAAACACATACATTTATATATATATACATATATATATATGAAACCTTTCTGTCACCTTACATCTTGACAAAGCTGGTTTAGTTAAAATATATTTTACAAAGCTGGTATTATTTAAGTTTTTATGCTGCTGATGTTATTTAAGTGTTAACACAGCAGGCAGAATCTCTTTTATATATTACGCTTCTGGTGTGACCTATGGACTGCTTCCATTTTTTACTGCTTCCTATGGATTCAGAGTATTTGGTATTGAGAGTATATTACAAATAATTTTATTTGTTTGAAAGAAAGTATGGTTTAACAATGAGTTTACTGTACAAAATATAATTCCTGATAACTACATGATATATATTTTGTTAATAACGCAACTGCGTTTGGAGCGTAATATTTTCTTTTCGGAAAATGAAATCGTCACAATTTAAGTATGGTGTAAAAAATATTTGGTTTAAAAGTGTTTGGTACATCAGAATATTTAATATAGTTCATGGGCCTGAAATAAAAAGAGTTCAGTGACATATCATGGGGGGAAGGGGTGTAAAATTTGGATTCTTAATTGTGCTTACTTGAGTTAATGTTTTGTCAAGTAATTTAAGTAGATTGGAAGTTTACGCATTGCTGTCACCAATGTTTGGCAGGCTATGTCAAGTAATTTAAATGTTAACACCGCTGGTACATTTTAGATTGTAACGTAGCTGGTAGATTTTAAATGTTAACGTAGCTGGTAGATCTTAGATTTTTACAGTAGCTGGTAGATCTTAGATGTTAACGTAGCTGGTAGATCTTAGATTTTAACACAGCTGGTAGATTTTTAAAATTGTACAATTTTGGCATAAACAAACAAGCAATTAACTTATTCTAAAGTGCAACAATTTGAAGCCTGCTGAACTTCAGTATTACCAGCTGGTGTAAGAATTCATCGTCTGACATCAAACTCCAATTAAATAGACTAATGAAGAAAGCTAGTAATACCACACAAATTAAACATCCTTCACTTCATGAACTATTTGAAGAAAAATGCTAATTTAAAAATTTTGGATAATACAACCCACCCACTTCACCACAGATATCTAAGATCAGGTCGATAAGGGCCAATTCTTTCTCTTAAAGTTAGGACAGAAAGATGAACAAAATTCATTTTTTTCCCCCCAGCCCGTACAAATTTGACCAGTGTATTCCCCCAGCGATTACCAAATCTAAATGATCACTAATGGGGTTCTTTTATGGCTGATTTTCTATGGTAAAGAAATACTTTAGATGTCTTGTGTTTAAACTGTTACAATTTTAAAATGTTACATTGGTCTAAATAGGTATTTTTTTAAGTGCTGAAAATGAATATGTACAATGTAATCAAAATACATTTCCATTTATTTGCATCAATAAAGAATCTTATCTTATCTTAGTTGTAAACATAGCTGGTAGATTTTAGATCTTAACACAGCTGGTAGATTTTAGATCTTAACACAGCTGGTAGATTTTAGATCTTAACACAGCTGGTAGATTTTAGATGTTTACACAGCTGGTAGATTTTAGATGTTAACACAGCTGGTAGATTTTAGATGTTAACACAGCTGGGAGATTTTAGATGTTAACACAGCTGGGAGATTTTAGATGTTAACACAGCTGGGAGATTTTAGATGTTAACACAGCTGGGAGATTTTAGATGTTAATACAGCCGGTAGATTTTAGATGTTAATACAGCTGGTAGATTTTATACATTAACACAGCTGGTGAAGCTAAAAATGTTCCTTCAGCTGATATGGAATCAACAGTATTATAAAAAGTCACTGATCCAAATCATTTGCACAGCTTTATGAACTGCAAACTTAGAAGCACCAATGCATGACCGAAGCCTAGACACCAGTGCCTGTAAACAAATTTTGGCTTCTCAAAGACACAGCACACGATCTATTCAACTATGCATTTTGTTCACTGACATCATCTGCTGATACTTTTCAACAGTGAAAAACTTATCTTTACAAATAGCAACAGTTAACAGATGTTGCTTATTAAAGTAACATGTCTCTGGAATAGAGCAATAATTTTCATTAAAATACTTATTTATCGCATAGTATCAGACAAACATTGGTATTTACTACTTATTTATCCCCTGGTATCAGACAAACATCAATGCAGCATTACTAATTTACATTTCACCCGAAGCTTGCAGAAAGAGATTACAAGTAGGGTCTTATTTACTGGTCCTGTCAAGGCCTTCCTGAATGCTCCCAAAGTACAAACAATGTGTCTTCTCTGGGGACTGGGATCAAGGAAATGTGAGCCACCAAGAGCTCTGGTCCTTGATTTCAATTCAGGGCTATTTTCTCTGACCTGCTGCAGTGTTGTCAGTTATATATATGTGACCAACCTCTATATAACAAGATTAAGCTAATAAAAAATTACCATCATCTGGATCATTGTAGATTTCATTATCTTCATCATCAGGATTCTCCATGTCAACTAAAAAAAGAACAATCCAAAATTTGTTTTTCAATGATTTCATCAACATTTCCTCAAACAATTTATTTCACAACATAATTGTTCAAATCTATGTATAGATTACTTCAAAGTTTAACACTGAAGATAAAAACAATGTAATTATTTAAACAATAAGAACCTCCTTTCTCCTTTTGTAATATAATTTATGAAAAGATTGTGCATATTTAACCAGACAATTATTACAACTATTGATGTAGTAACATTATACAATTAATTTCATGAAGAAATTCAATAACTCACTCATTAAGAATAAATTTTAATGAAATATATATAAATGTAACTATCAAGAAAATGTGTAAGTATTTATTTAGAATTAAATAATATAATGTATTTTTAAAGATTTATAAGGGATTATTGCACAGGTAACCAATGACTTGGTGATTGAGAGAACATTTTATAGCCACACCTTATGTGACTTTCAAGTACTTCCTGTAATGTAGGACAAATTTAATAAGTCTAAAAATCAATACAGGTTTCACCAGCTGTTTCGAAATACTCAATACAGGGACAATGATAACTTTGAAAGAAGTTTACTGCTATGTTATCACTAACTCACGTATCATGATCAATAAATTGTGAAAAATAAATGACAGTCTCTCATATCCTATTTAATTTAAAGGCAGAGGAAATTAATTAAAATGAATATTAATTTTAGTTAGTAACAAATATATTCGCAATAAAAAGTAAAAATACATAACAAACGGACAATAAAATGTTGCACAATCCTATTTCAAAAAAAAAAAAAAGCGTATAAGACGGCTTTTTAACCCATGAAAATCTTTTCAAAAGTCGGGGGTCGTTTTATATGCCTGGGGTCTTCTTATAAGCTAGTATACTGCGTGCTGAAACTTCAGGGACATGAGCCCTCTAGTTCCAGTTTGGTTGACAGTTTAAAAAACAAACAGCATGGCAGCTCCCATGGGTTTATTGTCTTATCCTTCCTTTCTGATGTTTTTTAAATTTTTATTTGGTGTGTGTTGGAAGAGGAAGTCATATACGGTAAGTATAGACAAAACCCTATATTTTACAGGAAAAGTAGGGGGGCATCTTATACGCCCAGTCGTCTTATACACTGGAAAATACTTTATTTACAATCAATTATGTGAAAGTAGGCCCCAGAGCCGGATTAACATAGTAGGAATAGTAGCATATGCTAATGAGCTCCTCGCCAATAAATATCAACATAATTTTTTGTCATCTCTAATGCCAGAGTGAAACCAATGATCTTGTGATGCCATCTTCAGCGCCTTGTCATTTCGTGTAATGAATCAAATTAATAACAACATGAATATAATTTTTCTAATATAGGGTCCCTTTTTCAACATATGCTACAGGCCCCGTGTAGCTTAATCCAGCCCTGGTTGGCAAGCAACTTTCTCAAGATTAAATCTTGGGATTTATTCTCTACATAAGGCTAAACTTTTGCTAACTGGAAACAATTAATTGAAATTCAAACATTTTTTTTTAAATATTAGATGCTTTCAATTAAAAAATTTAATTAATATATTTAGGTATTTACTATATGAATAAATATAAAGATGTGTAAATTTTGTTTGATCTGCAGGTACATGCGTTTTGCATGTGATATTCCAAAACCAAATATGTATGTATATATATATATATATATATATATATGTGCTTGTGTGTGTGTGTATATATATTATTATATCACTCATATGAAGTTAATATAAAAACAATCAAGCATATGCTTTTTTTTAGGTTAAAAATAGTTAATTCATTAATTAATGTTGAATTTTGTAGTGGTTTGAAGAAGGCAGTCAGTAAAAAAATATAAGCTGCAAGAACTTCAGCCTATAAGTTATTTAAATGTACAATTCTACCTGCACATATGGAAACCTGTACAAAATTAAGCACTCACTCCAAGAAAACTATGTGCAATAATTTCACTCTGTGGTCACTAACATAAATGTGATTAAGAAGTAAAAAAATTTGCTACCTTTTAAGTATTAGTAAATACATTTTTTTAAGTAGACGAATGAATGCAAGCAAAGCCACAACAGTGAGTAAGCAAAGTGAAAATATGCTTAGAAGAGTAATGGTTAAACAGAGATCTGATGATAAAAAGTAGAGTCGAGTAGTATTTGCCATAGTTATAGCCCCAGGAGTTAATAAGTTAATGCAAGCATAGTTTTCCAAATGTAAACAATAAAGGAGAGCTACAGAGCTACTGCTCTGTCTGACTCTGATCAGTGAGCCCCCACAACTCACCATCAGTTACAGACTTGACTTTTTCAGGCTCCCTGTTAATCCTGCCAGAATCTGTTTTTTCGTGAGATGATCTTTCACTGTCCTCGTTCAAGTCCGGAATATCATCATTCCTTCCCTCTATTCTTGATTTCTCACTGCTCTGGTAAGTGTTCTTTTGTCTATTAAGTTGATCTTGTTTTTCTGTCACTATCTCAGCTTTTCCAAATAAATCTTCTTCATCACTTTCATTTTGCTCTTCAGAATTTTCATCATCCTGATCATCATTCCCATCCTTTTCATTTGGAATAATAGTCTTCTTATCACTTTCATCATCCTCATCCTTCTCATTTGGAATAATAGGATTCTCATCCCCCTGATCTTTCTCGTTTGGAATAATAGGATTCTTGTCAATGTTTTCACCCTGATCTTTCCCATCCTTTTTATTTGGAGCAATTGACTTCTCATCACTATCATCATCCTCATCTTTCTCATTTGGAATAATGGAATTCTTGTCACTTTTATCATCCTCATTTTTTTCATTTGGAATAATAGGATTCTCCTCCCTATCATCATCCTGATCTTTCTCATCCTCCTCATTTGGGATGATAGGATTCTTGTCACTTTCATCATTCTGATCCTTCTCATTTGGAATAATAGAATTCTCATCACTATCATTATCCTCATCTTTCTTATTTGGAATAATAGGATTCTCATTATTATCCTCATCTTTCTTATTTGGAATAATAGGATTCTCATCTCTATCATCACCCTGATCTTTCTCATCTTTTAAATTTTGAATTATAGAATTCTTGTCACTTTCATCATCCTGATCCTTCTCATTTGGAATAATAGGATTCTCATTACTATCATCACCCTGATCTTTTTCATCCCTCTCATCATTCTCTTTTGAGATACTAGGATTCTTGTCACTTTCATCATCCTGATCTTTCTCATTTTCATGAGGAATAGGAAAATTCTCATCACTGTCATTATCCTGATCTTTCTCATTCCCATTTGGAATAACAAGTTTCTCATCCCTATCATTCAAGTTTTCATCATCTTTATCAGTAAGATAATCACTTTCCCCTTGATTTATATCATTTTGAACGTTAGGACTATCCCCATCAGCTTCGTCACTTTCCATTTTCTTCATGGGCTCTGGCTGTTTTATTTTATTAGCTGTAGTTACAGCTATTTGAGAGGAAGAATTAATTAAAATGCAAGCATACATGCAACAAGAGTGTGACACACACATAATGCAGGTGTACACCTAAAATAATCAACAAACATAACACCAAAACAATACCGGCGCAATTCTGACAGAAAGGTCATATGCTGTTATTTCACTTTCTTTGACCAAATAATGTAATTGCATTATCAGAAGTTTATTGTAATATTTCCCCCCCAAAATTTATTTATAATGTAATTGTATAAAACCTCCCTTGTTTATATTCTCGGAAATATAGGTAAAATATAGTGTATGTTTATAGCCTTATTAGCTAATAAGCCAATTCACCTTTAATTGGCTTTTTTTTTACTGATAATTTAGAAATCCACTAACAAAGTATGCTCTCTAGATTGTTTTAATATAGAAAATATTATTTTTATTGGATTTTATCAAATTTGTACCAATTTAGGAATGTGCAAGCTTTTTAAACTTCATCATTACCAACTTTACTATTGTTTTTTTAAATTTATGTCAGGGGTCTCAAACTCGCGGCCCGCAGGCCATTTGCGGCCCACAAGACTATATTTTGCGACCCGCCAATTGACAGCAAAGTTTAGTGTAATGCTGCCCGTGAGTTTTCCCTATTCTCATATCTATAATGTGACCCTCCGCGACGGTTTCAGTCTAATCTCACCGACTAGACTAATTCTAATTTTTATTATGTTTGCATAGATTTGGACGTTGATTAAAATGGTAAAAACCGTTTTAAAACCGGGGCTAAAAGTTTTTATTTTGTATCATTATATGAGACGAACATGGCCAAAGTGCGGTTTTGATAAAAGTTTAACATTTCCGTTAGTTGTTAATGCACAAACATAAGTGTGTAAATCGTAGCAATCTGACACAGTATCAAAGATTCCCTATTAAGATTGCCCCTACTGTTAACGAGTTAGGGAAAATTTCAAGCATGTGAGCTTGGTTTCATTTCAAAATAGGGTTAGTCAAAAAGTCCTTTTCTACAATAAAAAGAATCAAAATTCATCCTCCCTACAATAGCATCTTCCTTTGCTTCAAAAATTCATAAATATTGCCTACTCCTGCCTACTGTTCTGTCTGAACACATTTTTGCATTTTAAGCCTTCGTGAAGAAGGATTTACGGGGGTGGGGGGTGTTTCCCTGAACTAAGTGATCACAAATGGCTCCTGGACTTGATTTTTCTTGTTGACATTACACAGGAACTGAATGTACTCTACAAGAAGTTACAGGACCAGGGGCAGCTTGTCAGTGTTGCCTATGACAATGTCAGGGCATTATGCACAAAACTTATGTTATGGTTCTGAGAGAAACCCCTGCCATTTCCCAACATGAAAAGTGACCATGGACTCTGGCACACCATTCAGTAGTAAGTATACTGATGCCATTGCAAAGCTACAGGAAGAACTTGATCACAGGTTTTTAGACTTCACAACACAAAGAGCAACTTTTCAACTTTCTGCTGATCCTTTCTCTTTTAAAGTGGAAGATGTGCCCCCACCCCCCACTTGAGCTTCAAATGGAGCTGATTGATCTTCAGTACAATTCTAAATTCAGGGAGTGAATGTAGAAACAAACAAGCACGGATAATTTATAAGAGTAGTGCCATCGACCTTCCTTGAGATGTCCAGGTTGCTCAAGCGGATCATGTGCCTTTTTGGGAGTACCTGTGTGAAAAGCTCTTTTCCACCATGTGATTGAACAAGTCAAAATTCAGGCCAAACTTACTGATGAGCATCTTCAAGCTATACTGAGGGTCTCAGTTGCTTCCTCACTCATGCCAAATGTTGCTCAGCTGTGTAAGATGAAGTGCTGCCACGTCTATTGCAACAAGGAGTAGGAGAAAGAAAGTGAAGCCTAGTTCTTAAGAACCCTTAATTTAAGGCTTAATGTTTTTATTTTTTTATAAATCAACTTAATCAAGGTTGTGCAGATTGTACCAGTTGTACTTTATTGAATTTGTAATCGATTTTTTCTTTACTTCATGCGGCCCAGTCTCACTCATACTCTACATCCTGCGGCCCCCGGATGATTTGAGTTTGAGAACCCTGATTTATGTGATATCAGTATTTATTCATGGCACTAGTCTATACTTTTTTACTAGTACTTCTGACACACTTTACAAAGCACAAGTCTATTTGTTTTCTCAGTATTAAACTTGAAAAACATTTTTTACAATAACTGAATTAAACTAGAAAACAAACAAAAACAATAAGAAAAGTTACCTGTCTCCGTATATACAGCTCCATTTTCTTTATCACTATCAGCATTATCATTTTCGCCATCCCTAATGGAGAAATCATTGCCTTTTAAAATGCTATTTAAATCTGGAAATACTGTAGATGGTTGATTTTGCTTTGGTTTATTATCAGTGACTGCTTCAGTGATAATACTGTCTCTTGGAGTAGGCTTAGGTCTAAGAGAAGTAGGGATACTGTCAGTGTCATCATTTTCTCCAATAATACTATCAATATCAATATCTGATAGATCAAGGCCCCCAGCAGGTGAAGTGGTAGTATGGCCTTTGTTGTTCTCAGTTGCTTCATCAGAAGAAAGAGATGCTGGGACTGGTTTGTCTTCTTCAACAAACAAGTTATCAATATCAGGCAATATAGGCATAGGTGGGGTGGGAGCTGGGGGCTCCCTACTTGTTAAGTTAATTTGCTTAGTTTTAATTTTACCTGCAGGGCTGTTTTCTTTTACTTCCCCTTCGTCAATATCAGAAAATAAACTATTTATGAAATTTATGTCTGGTAATGCTGGGTGATCCGAAGATTGCGATGGCGATGGGTTCATATTTATATCTTTATTAAAGTTAAGTCCATTGATCTCGGTCTTAAGTAGGCTTGAATTTGATATTGAATCAATCACAGTTTTTCTCGAGTCTGGTGGTAGCGCATTGTTTGAAGGATCATCACGAGAATACGTTTGACTTACACTTAAAGCGAAAAGGGTCGACAGACACACGCTCAAATAGATCAAATTAGTTTGATACATTATTATTATGTATTATTGTTCATAAACATCCAAAGAATTGCTTGAAATATGATCTTAAAAAATATAGAGAATAAATATAACAGAGTCACAGTTGTAATATGTATGGGCCACACCTTCACTTGTGTAACACAACCAATCCACTAATGACTGTGTAAACGGTAAGAAAAAGAGTAGCGTAGTCGTGTAGTCGTGTATCGTAGACTTCACTTTTGTTTACACTAACTTCCTTTACTGAGGATAAAGTACAAATTTGCCAGATTTTTGTCTGGTCTAATCAAAATGAACCTTTAACCCCCATTTAACTTAATTATAAGACATTCATAATAACATTTAAAAGTTCATAGAATCCACAAATCGCCAAATGCATCTTATTCATAAAAAATAATTTATTTTTAACAAATGCTGAAAATGCAAAAGGATTAACTTAAATAAATGGAATAAAAGTTTAGAGCCAGTCTGGCATATACTGATTTTAAATCAGTGCTTCCCAGAGTATTTAATGCGTGGCTACCAAGGGTTTGGGTATATGTCTCCTAAAAGGTTAAAAAAAATAACAATGTTTCACATCATCAAGGCATTCTTGGATGAAGACGATTGTGTCCTTAACGCTGGATTAGAAACGCATATGTAATGTAGTGTAATGAATGCACAAACTTCGGTCTCACAATTAACACGAAAAAGACTTAGGTCCTACTCCCACACAAGCCAGTTTCTCGAAAACCTATGTTATGCCCAACGTTTTAAGTATGTGGCAAACATCCTCTCTTACTGTGGCAGCACACTGTCCCAAAACGCAAACATCGATGACGAGATTAACCTCCACATTGCAAGCAGGGTCGGCCCTACGTTGCTGGCGCCCCGAGCAAGCTTAACTTTTGCGCCCCTTTATGTATAGTTATACAAATTTTTGCCAGGAAAAAACTAGAGGTTAGGTAATGAGTATATTACCTAGATTGTTTTTTAAACAAGCAATGTATTTCTTAACTTGCATTTGGACAGTATGAACAATTAGCCTACCTGTGACATTTTTTTATAGCGTTTAGATCAGCACATATTTTTATTGCACTTTCTATATTTATATTCTTTGCAATATTATTTTCTATAAACAGAATCCCAAATAATTCATTCTGTCTTGAGATGTGGATGATCGTAAGTTTTTTTTATAAGCGTCTCTCCCCGCTCAGCGGCTACAGAAATGGGTATTGTAAGCATTATTCTTAGTGTCATCCAGAGATTTGGCATGGCATCCTGTAACTTATTATGTTTATAAATGTAGCTACTTCTATTGGGAGCTTTACATCATGAGCAAATAATTCTTTGGTTATATCTACTTTAGTAAAGATTTCAAATCCATTAATGTCGCTATTTTCCTAATACCTTAACTTATTCTCCAAATCCGGACATGCTCATTTGAGCTTATCTTTGTCTGGCAGATGTAAGTCATTTTAAAATCCCCATGTGTTATTGAAACTTTCCAACTGTTCAAATCTCTTTGATAATGAATTTATAGCTAATTTTTTTTTCTGGATCATTTGCAACTGTAATCTGGTCAGTGCGCTCATATTTAAACAGCCTCCTTCCTTTTTTATTTAAAAAATGGGCTCTACAACTAATTTTTTTTTTCTCTTGAATTCTACTTCACGCATTTTTGTATCAAGTTTCCACCCCTCCCCACCATCCTAAAAACCGCCACCAATTTGTAAAACAAATTTAACACATTTATCCCACATCGTCAGAAATTCATCCCCCCACCCCTCCAATGATTAGATGCGTGACACTGTTTATAGATATTACCTTAGCACCTGAAAATAAAAAGATTCAGCTGCACTGACATATGATGGGGGTGCGGTTGGTCCACTTTTTTCTATTTATTTAGGGAGGGGGGGACATTTTCGGCCAACTGCAGCAAGTAGAAAGGAATTTTAAGGATTAAAAGACGCATCATTTCATTNTTAGTAGTCTGTGTTCATTAAGTCTCTTTAATGTTTAAATTATAATTTAAATGATTTATATTACGCCGATCCTTATGATGTTTCGCTCAAAAACATGGTTCGTTCGGTTTATGACAGTTTCAAAATTGCAATTAACACTATGAAAATAATGTTGTGTTTGCCCTCAAATGTTTCCTAGCTATGATGTATGCACAGATTAAGATTAAGGTCTTTGGTGTGCCTCTTGTCTTTGTGAAGTATGTGGGATTTAAACGTTTCATTCACTATTAAGGTCCTATCTAAAGACGATTTTGGCGCCCCCTGATTGTGGTGCCTTTTGCTCTTTGCCCCATTCTCATTGCCCTGTCCGAGGCCAACATGGCACCCAGGGTGATGCGGCGCATATTCTGGGAACCACTGGGTTCGCCAAACTGCATTTGACGACAATCCGTGACACATTTTGTTGATTGTGACGTCATAATTATATAACGATTATTTGATTTTGTTTGGGTTTTTTTTTTTCGAAATCCCAACGTCTGTTCGCACAGGGTGGGAGGGTCCTCGACAAAAAAAAAAGGGTGTGGGGAGTCGAAAATTACTTTTTTGCCTACGTTCTACATAGGACAGCCCCACAAAATGGACCTTTATGGGAATGTTTCTATTGCACAAACATAAGCCCCTTGGTTAACCATGGGAATATGTGACAGTAACAACAGCTGCCTGTTGAAGCGTAAATGATGCCACGACAAGCAATGCATCCCAACGCTCGTCTTGTACCCGAGGCCAAAAGGGGAGCGATGGGGCGGCATGACAATATATATATATATATATATACATATATATATATATATGTGTCATTTATTAATGAATTAGTTCAAAGAAATAGAATATGACATGCAATAAAAAAAATAATAAGACAGCATTATTATCTAGTATGAACCAGAAATAACGATCTTGTAAAATCACACCCAGGTCAAGAAAACCTAAATAACCGCAGAGCAGAAGACAGAGACGAATGGAGGAGGATAGTTCACATGTCATCCGTGGCGCCCCAACGGTCCAGGGACTAAGGGACATGATGATGATGATGATGAAATAATCACTAGCATCTCTTTAGTTGCTCTCAGATTAAATTCAGAATGATGAAAAACTATTTTCATCTATGCGCCAAAGAGGCGTAGCGAGGTATTTTGGCGCCCGGGGACAAGATTCGCGCCCGGGGACAAGATCCATTTTAAAGTGCCCCCTTTTCTTTTTTTCAACTCTCATATTCATTATTTTTACCAATAAAATAATATCAAAGCACATTTTGGCGCTCTTAACTAGCTGGCGCCCGGGGACATCTGCCACCCCTGCACCCCCTCGCTACGCCTCTGATGCCCCAAAATGTATAGACCTACAGGCATTTTGAATTTATTGTGTGTGTTGAAGGGGGGGGGGG